TACACGATCTGGGTGACCGCCCTCAGTGGGCTTGGGGGACAGGAACGCCCCACCGAGAGCCTGGCCTCGGCACCGCTGCACGTGTGGACCCGTAAGTAGGGGTGTGGCCAGTTCAGGCTGGCGGCCCCCTGGAAGCTCCCACCTCCCCCAGCCCTTCTGTCCTCTCCACAGCGGCTGCGTCACCAGAACGCCAGCCCTGGGCTGAGTGTGCCCCAAATGGCAGTGTGCCTGGAGGTCTGCTGCAGGGGGCTGGCCAGGCCCTCCTGCCGGGGTGACCTTCATACCCAAGGGCACCTGGGCTCCTACCGAACAGGTCGCTGAGCAAAGGGCCAGAGGAGCTGTCGTGCGAGGGCGCCCAAACTGCCTTGTGCTGAGCTCCATGGTGTCTAGTGGGGAGACCCGGCCTTCACCGCCCTCCTCCCCAACGCATGGGAGGGGCACACGCCATGCTGTCAGTGGGGACCAGGGAGCAGGCAGGGAGCAGGGGGCTGGGCCAGGCCCAGTGGGACCCTGAGCGCCGGCACCCTGGTCTGCCTGTGGGTCCAGCCCCCCTCCCTTCATCTACGTCCCCGGGGTATGAGTATCCAGGCTCAGGGGCATCAGAAGTGCCACACAGGAGGGGACAATGACGAACAGGGGGCTCGCTAGGCGCCGCAGGAGGCTCTCTGAGGGTGCCTCTCAGGGCGGAGGAGGTGGCCCTGCAGACCCTGAGCGGCTGCACCCTCCACACCCCTGCCCGCTGTCCTTTAGGGCCACCCAGTCGTCTGTAGTAACTAAATCTGGATTCAGACGAGGCTTTGGCATCCGTGTCAGGTCCTTACACTGTCCTGCGCAGAAGACCCCGTCAGCCCCTCACCTCCCTCCCCTGCTCCGTGCCTCATCCAGGGCCGCTGCCACCAGCAAATCTGACCGCTGCCCGCGTCACGGCAACCTCTGCCCACGTGGTCTGGGATGCCCCCACTCCAGGCACCTCGCTGGAGGCGTACGTCATCAACGTGACCACCAGCCAGAGCACCAAGAGCCGCTACGTCCCCAACGGGAGGCTGGTGTCCTACACGGTGAGGGACCTGGTGCCCGGGCGGCGGTACCAGCTCTCAGTGACGGCCGTGCAGAGCACCGCGGGCGACCAGCTGCATAGCGAGCCCGCTCACCTGTATATCATCACCTGTAAGTGCAGGGCGGGCATGAGAACACAGCCACACTGTCCCCGGGATGGCAGGCGGGCAGTCTAGGGGCAGGAGCACGTGTGTGTGAGAAGCCGTGGGGGGAAGGGCTCCGGACAGCTGGTGCTGGGTCAGCGCGAGCAACATGGAAGTCACCATGCTGTGTCATCTTCACCTTGCGCCATCCACCTCAGGGCACCCCGGGCGGGCTGCTCAGGGCACACAGGGCATCACCTGGAAACAGGTGCTGACAGCGGGCAGTGGCGGACCACAGTGAGGTGGGCAGCCAGGCCGACCTGCAAGGAGCCACTGGACAGGAGCCGGCAGAGAAGCCAGGACAGTTGCAGGGAGGGGCAGACAGATGGGGGCAGCTCGGGAGCACGGAGGCTCAGGCATGGTGGCCCCCGGGGTCCCCCAGCGTCCTGCGCAGCCCCGCTCACACTTTAGAGCTCAGGCAGGTGCTGTGGAGATGGTGTCTGACCTGGGGGACGCGGGGGACGGGAGCGAGGCGGGCAGACACACGGGCACTGCCAGCCCGCTCTGAGATGCAGACCCAGCTCTGTCCAGGTGTGCCCGCCAGGGGAGGAGGGGGGTGAGAGGCACAGTTAGTGACAAGGACCCACAGAGAAGCCACGCCATCACCCTCGGGGTGAGTGCGGGGTGGGGGTGGGGCTGATGGCAGAGCGCCTGGCCCCACCCGCGGGAGGAGAACCCGGGCCAGGGTGGGGGCTGGGCCCAGCCCACGTCAGCACTGCCACGCAGTGTCCACCCCACAGCGGGAACACTGTGCTCCTCCTCAGACGGGAGCCCCGTCAGCAGGCAGGTGGGGAGCGGGGCTCCAGGGCTCAGAAAGCCCAACCCCGCCATGGCACCGCAGGGACAGCAGTGTCCCTTGTTTTCTCTGAGCGGCGGGGTGGGAAGGAGGCAGAAGGAAACCCCAGACCTGCNGGGGGACAGAAGTTCCCATGCCAGCGACACCATCCAGAGGGCAGGCCTCGAGGACCCCGGTCACTGAGGACGCAGTCGCAGGGATCAGCCGGGCGGACCCCAGTCCCAGACCAGCTGCCGGGGCCCCTGGGGTGCAGGGAGAGAGCCGCCTGGGCCCTGAGCCGCCCTGAGCCACGGCCCCTCCCTTTGTGCCGCAGCCTGTAAGAAGGTGCCCCAGCCCTGCACGCGGCTGTTCTCGGAGACCAAGTCCTTGCCGGTCTGGGAAGGCGGCGTCTGCCATCACGTGTAAGTCTCTCTCCTTCACCTTCACCACGTCTGCGTGTTCCTGACCTTCCACCCCAGCCTCCCAAGGCCCTGAGGACGGCTAGCCGTCAGGCACAGAAGGGGCTTGCTTTGACCAGCTGTTCCCTCCATGTGACACATTAGGACACGGAGGCAGAAAGGCTGAATGACTTGCTGAAGTCTGTGCAGCTGGGAGCAGAGACGCAGGAGGCCTGGCTCCCGACCTCTCTGGCAGGGTCAGCCCCACTTCCCTGGATGGCACGGTCCTCTCCTCTGCCTCAGAGACCCCGGAAAACAAACAATAGCACATAAGAACCTGAGTCTTGGTTCTGCCATTCAGTGATGATAGGGCCCTGGGCAAATCCTTCATGCCTCAGTTTCCCTTTATATAAAACGGGCTGCAGAGGGACAATTTGCCTACCTCCCCTTAGGACCTTTCTTGCTAATGCTCAGTGACTGTGGGGCCTACTTACTATCTGTTTTTCAACAAAGACATACGAGCACCTACTATGTGCCAGGCACATCTCTAGACCCTCAGCACATGCCAGGGAACAGAACAGGCCCTTCCATTCTAGGTGAGGGGACAGCCAGACACAGGAAGCACGGTATGTTCTCAGTGTCGGAAGGCGGTCAGTGCTGAAGACATGAGCACGTGGGGCCAGGGGAGCCCAGGGTGGGGCAGGCAGGGGGCCGGCTGCAGCACTAAACAGGGTGTCAGGTAAACCTCGTGGGAAAGGTGACACTGAACGCACATAGAGCAGGGGAGGGGGGGTCTCAGGGAAGGACACCCAGAGTCAGCGTATCAGCTGCCCAGGCCTAAACCAGGGGCAGGCCCGCGTGGGGCTGGTGCTGAGTGAGGGGCAGGGGACGCCAGGGGGCCTGGAGGCCCGTGGAAGGACTGTGGCACGTGTTCGCTGTGACCTGAGGAGTTAGGAGGACGCCGGCAGAGGGACTCGTTCCATCACAGGTCTCAGGTCACTGGGCTGGATGTAGGAAGGCGAGGTCGGAGGCTTGATCGGAGCTTGGTCATGGAGCCAGGCTTCACACCAAGCAGGGAGACAGGACACTCTGCGCTGCGCTGGGACTTGGGACTCGAAGCCTGAGGCCATCTGAATGTGGGCTCAGTGGAACGGCAGGCCAAAGCCACAGGAGCCACCATCCCCGGCGACCAACGCGTGCCTGCCGAGAGCGCCCGTCTTCCCACTGCAGCTGGCCGGGCCTTAGTGACTCTGGCACCCAGCACACGGCTGGGTCTTGCTGTATATCCGGTCAGCCACCTCTGGTTTTCACTGGGGTGGTGAGACCACTAACATTTATTGTAATGATTTATGTGACTGGGTTTCAATCTACTGTATGTATTGCTGTTGTTTCCTGTTTGCCCCCCTCTGGTCTTCCTTACATTTTTCTCTTTTCCTGCCTACTTCTGGATTATTTTTTAGGATTCTCTTTTACCTCTACTGTTGTCTCACTGGTTATACTGCTTTGGTTTAATTTTTTTAGCGGCTGCTCTGGGATTTACAATATTCATCTTCAGCTCGTCACAACAGACCTTTAAGTACATTACGTAGGGGAGACCCCTCCAGCAGCGAGCCTGCACGTTGCCTCACAGACTACCATTGTCAGGCGTGTTACTTTCACACATGCTCTAAACTGCACAAGACGTTGTTTTTCCTCCCAACAATCGNAAAAACAACGGCTAATATTGAAAGCAAACTAAAATAAACTTATTTATCATGTTGATGGCATAACCACACAGGGAAAAAAACTATAATTTTAAGTGATTTTAAAAACAGCGTTTGACTCTTCACTCCCAGTGGGATATATTCTAAGGATAAAAAGAATTGCCAAGAAATTTTAAGCTGTACTCGGTGATCTTCATGTTAGTAGTAATACTGGTTATTTTACGGTATTTTAAACAATATTTTAAAATACTGTTCTTTTAAAACTATTACATGTACATTGTGGGATAAATAATGTTAATGGCACCAAGATTTTCAGCATAAAGAGATACAATACAAAATCAAAGAAGCAAAGCCCCTGCTTTTCTTTGTGTTTAGCTCTGTTAATTTGAACTGGAAATACCGGTATTTCTCATAATTGTTTATCTTTATTTTTAAAATCTAATTTCCTAGTTCTGTCTACTGAAAAGACCTGGCACACTGACACCCCATTAACAGTGAGCACCTCCGTTTCCCAGGCTGTGGGCTCTAGAGGCCGTCCTCCACTAAAAGGAACCAGGGGTCTTGGGAGAAGCGGCTGATCCCAAGACCGAAGCAGACCTGGACAAAATGAGCCCAGGTCATACTCGTAAAATGGCAAGCACGCTCTCAGGAACAACAGGGGTTGTGTCAAAATTGTGTCAGCCAGCCTGAAAGGGGTCCCAAAGATGGGATCATTTGAGCATCAAGAAAACCAAGGAAGCACCGGACAGAAGAAACTCAGCAAATACATAAAAATGCACAAAAGAACCACGTGTGGGGGGGACCGGCTCACTCTGCGAGTGTACAGGAAAGGATGGAGCATGGATTTGGCCTGGCCTGTGTGGACCGCACTTCCGGGTGACCCAGTGGTGGGTGAGGGAGAGCAGGTCTTCCCAGGAGACTTGCTGGCCAGTGACGACAGAGGATGGCAGAGCCGTAGCTCCGGCCCTGGGGAGACAATGGGCCTGGGACCTGTATCTGGCGGCCACCAGCACAGAGCCTAAGAGAACTCCACTCTGGACTAACAAGCCTGCCGATGCTGAACCCAGGGCACAACCGTCACTAACCCACTCGGAGACCTCATGCACCTCCCGATGTGGTGAAGGGCACACGACGTTTACCCAGGAAACAGTCCCGTAAAGGCCATCTGAAGCCCCTCTCTCTAATTATCAGTTTCGGGGGAACACGGGGATGGGGAATGGGTTAACCTACAAGAAAGCAGCAGTCACATCCAGGAGGAGGGGCGTCTGCAGAAAGATGACCTGCTTTCTTCAGTAAATGCAGAGGGGAAGGACATCCAACGAGACAAGGTGTGGCCTCTGCATGCTGACTAGATGCGACTAGCTGTAAAGGACATTTTTAACACGACGGGGGGATTGGAACGTGGCCTGCGATTGCTGACGCTATTTGGAACCACTGCTAACTTTGTAGCAACAGCACTGTGCTTCTGTAAGAAACGTGCAAGTCTTTACGTATGATATGTTCCCGGGAGAAACGGTTTCTCTGAATGGCTTTGAAATTCTTCAACAAGAGAGAGAAAGGGAGCTGGAAAGATGGAAAGCGACTGAACGCGAGTGGCAAAATGTTGATAACCACTGGAGCTGAGTGACGTATGGGCTTCTTCATAGTAGTACGTTTGAAATTTTTTGTAATAAAATGTTTTTTTAAAAGCCCACAACTCACCTTCAGCACATCAGGAAAGACAAGGAAAGCCTGAGGAGAGTGAGGGGAGAAGGGGGGCAGTGAGGAAGGCTCAACTGCGAAACCCCAGGAGGGCCGGAGGACTGGGGACATGGTGTGCCGGCTCCATCAGCCCTGCGTGAGGAAGTCGGGGTGGGGGCTGCATTAGATGGCAGAGGGAGACTGGCCCTCTGNCTGCACCTGCTGGCGCCCTCCCTGTGTGTATCGTCCATCTGCTCTGTCAGGGAGGATGACGGAGGAGTGAGGTCACATTCCCACGTATGCCTGAACAGTGGTGGGGCTTATGACCAGGTGAGCGTCGTGCCGGGCCCAGCATCCTGCACCACGGTCGGTCGGTGCTGCGCGTGCAGCTGCGGCTCAGTCACTGTCACTACTGAGCACCATGGGTGATTTGTGTGGCCTCGGCCGCACTCTGCCCCGGGGCACACAGGTTGTTTAGCAGTTATCAGTAGTGCCCTTCTGACATCCTGGCACACATCCCACAAATGTGGGAAAATGGAAATGCTGCGTGGGGATGTGTGAAGCCCCGAACCACATGGGAAGGCTAAGCTGTTGCACGCCCTCCAGCCGTATCAGGGACGTGGGCGACTCACAGCCTCTCCAGGACCTGATGGCACAGGTTCGCAGATCCTGCCAGCAGAGCGGGTGTGACATACGCTTCCTGGGCTCTAATCTGCATCTCTGGAGTGCTGACACGCTCGACCGTCTCCTCACTGGTACCAACCAAAGGCTCTGGCCTCACTCCTTCCCGTGGCTTCACCGTCTCTGTGCCAACACTAACTGTTTCACGATGGTGTCCTTGGTGAGGCATGATGTCCTGCAGGGCCAGTCTTCTCATTTGAACTTCAGTGCCTTGGCTGCTCTTGGTCCTTTGCAGAAGATTATAATCAGCTTCTCAACTTCCACAAGACGCTCATTGGGACTTTACACAGCCAAACTTCTGAGTCCCTATATGCTCGAAAATACTCTCATTGGCTCTCAAATTTGAAGGACAATTTGGCTGGATATAAAATTCATGATTCAAAGTTCCTCTCCCCTTCAATTCTTCACACATCAATCCACTGTCACCTTCTGTCCGTACTGCTGTCACTGGGTATCAATCTCGGTCTTGTTTCCTTATAGGATAACCTGTTCCTTCCCCCTGGAAGCTGTAAGACTTTTCTTTCTCAAGGAAAGGGGGGTCCCCAGCATCCCAGGCACCCAGTTAACATTCCCCATTGGTGTTTCTCACCAAGCAACTCTCCAGGCCAGGGCCACACCTCTAAGCCCCCAGGAGAAGCTCATGAAGGAGGGTCCCCAAGGATGCCACCTGCCATTCTGGGGGTTTGGGGTGAGCACTGAGGATCCTCAAATCCTTCCTGTTTTCCCCAAACTTCTCACCCCAGCGGGGCTTTTGGACCACCCAGATCCCCTGGACTCTGGGTAGCTGTCACCCAGAAAGAGGCAGGCAGTTACCACCCCCGGGCAATAGCAGGCACAGGCAGAACTTAAACCTCTTCACTCAGTCATTGATCCTCACTGCCCACCCCATTCCAATCGGCTTTTATTTACTTTAACGTGTACCACGGTAAACTCAGGATTCAGTGGAGACCACTCTGTAGG